GCACACAGACCCTATATACAGGCTCACCTGGCCCAGGCCGGCGGGATGCTTGGCACATTCTAGGATCCCTGCTCAGGGCCTGGAGGGGTGACTGGTGGCAGCACACGTGAGAGGGGACCTCTGGGTGACCACTCTGGTCCTGGCTACTGGTCTTGGCACTTCCTGGTCCCCAGTTCCTTTCTGTTCCTGCCTGCAGCCTTGGTCCCCCTACCTGGCCTCAGATGGCCCCCTTGGCTCCTGGGGGCTCTGTCCTCCCCTCCTAACCTGGAGATCTCAAGGAAGGTTATGGCTTCTCAGAGACTCCTCGACAGCCCTATCACTCATGTTCACACAGGGAAGGGGTGCATGTGGCAAAAGCAGCTGTATAAATGCGGGTGCAGGAGCAAGTCCTCCGGGGTCACTTGGACAGTTTGCTGATGACGCAGATCAGGGCCACATTTTCATCCTTGAGGCGCTGGTTGTCAGCTCGGAGATTGGACAGGCCCTTCAGCTCCTCTTCCAGCTCAGCGGCCTTGCACTCCAGGGCCCTGCACTCAAATCTCGCCAGCTCCAGGATGGCCGGCCTCTCTGCAAAGTGCTCTTGCCTCTGCATGGTGCGCTCCAGCTCCACCTTCAGCTGCTCCAGCCGCAGCATGGTCTGGGTCAGGGCCTCACGAAATCTCTCATTCTCAATGTGCAGCTTTTCATAGAGTTTCCTGAAGCTCCCTCAGGCTCTTTCAATTTTGGCTGGGGTTTGGGGTTTAGGTCCTGCTGCCTCTGGAGGGGAAGAGCTGGATTCTGGGCTGATGTCCACTGGCTTCACCTTCTCCCCCTTCACAGGCCCTCTCCTCTCATTGCCAACTCTATGGTGCTCCCTGGAGGCCTGTGGTCCCTGTCCCTGCCCCTCAGGCACCTCTACTCTCTGGGCAGGGCCATCAGAATTCTTAACCCCAGGGACTCGGGGCTGCCAGGAAGGGTCCAGGCTCTGAGCACCCTGCTCTCCATGTGGATGGGAGAGTCTCATCAGGGGAAGGCCTGCAGGGGGGAGGGGCTGCAAGGTTGGCTGCTGGCCCCCTGATCAGGCGGTATGCTGGCTACAGTGGGCGTCATAGCGACTGGCCCAATCAGGGCCATGTTCTGCCTGCTCACCACTCCCCAGTCCCAACACGGCCTCCACTGCCCGGCTATCAGGCCTTTGGGATCACCAGCTCAGGGCGCCTGCTTTCCCACAGGCCTGAGGGGCTCAGGCCTGTGGGAAAGCAGGCGCTGGTGATTTCACCTGCATGCGTGTTCGCCAACCATCGGCTGATGGAAAGCACTGCCCGCTTGGGGCCGCTCAAACCTGGGCGGGCAGGTCGGGGGCACTGCCGCCACTGCTATTGCCACTGCCGCTGCTGCTGCTGCTGCTGCTGCTGCTGCTGCTGCTGGGGCTTGAGGCACTGACTGAGGCTGCCAGGCATGCCCGTGACCTGCCCGCCCGAGTTGGGTAGCACATGGGATGCGCCAGCGGGCAGATCGCTGCTGCCGCCCGTCCCGTAGCACAGCGGATACCCGGGTGGGTACCCGATAGCTGAGCTGCGGCCCCACCGCCAACCCCAGGACCCGGCGGGAGGCCCAGATGAGGGCGGAGCAGGTGCCGAACACCCCGGTCCCACCCGCCAGCCCCAGGTCCCCTGCGGGAGGCCCGGATGAGGGTGGATCGGGTGCCGAACACCGCGGTCCCACCCGCCAGCCCTGGGTCCCCCGTGGGAGGCCTGGATGAGGGCAGGGCGGGTGCCTAATTACCAGGGTCCCACCCGCCAGCCCCGGGTTCCCTGCGGGAGTCCCAGATGAGGGTAGAGCGGGTGCTGAATACGGAGGTCCCACCCGCCAGCCCCAGGTCCCTGCGGGAGGCCCGGATGAGGGCAGGGACCTCTGCGCCAGCCCTGGATGGAGGGGAGCTGGCGGTTGGCACTGTCGCCCCACCTGCAGTATGCAAATTAGCTGCCATCTTGGCTGGTGGTTAATTTGCATATCTTGCTAATTAGCCAATGGGAAGGGTAGCGGTTGTACGCCAATTACCATGTTTCTCTTTTATTAGTGTAGATGCTCAAAGTCACTAATCATCCAAGAGATGCAAATCAAAACGACAATGAGGTACCACCTCACACCTGTCAGAATGGCTATCATCAACAAATCAACAAATGACAAGTGCTGCTGTAAAAAAGAAAGAACTCTTACCATTTGCAACGGCATGGATGGACCTGGAGAGCATCATGCTAAGCGAAATAAGCCAGTCAGAGAAAGATAAATATCACATGATCTCACTCATTTGTGGAATATAATGAACAACATAAACTGATGAACAAAAATAGAGCCAGTAGAGAAAATAAATATTTTAGAATCTAATAGAAGTAATCCTGTTATTTGCAGATTTTTAATATTTCCTACAACTTTTTGATCTCATACTATGATAGTACAGTTTTGATAATATTATTATACCTAAAATCCTTTTTTTCTTGAAATACTAATGTTTATTGCATGTAATATTACTATATTTAAGATCATTTTTTTCTTGAATAATTTCATGTAACATTATATTTAAGATAATTTTTCTTGAAGTGTTAACGTTTATTGTATGTAACATTTTTATATTTAAAATCATTTTTCTTGAAAAAAAATAAATTTTCACTTCTAAAAAAAAGTAAGTACAGATTTTAATCAGTAATATACTCTTGCAATAATGAGAAGAATGAACTGAACTCAACTTCAGTTTGCACAGAGTTGACTGGTGTTTTAAAGGGAGAGTGAGGGAGTACGGTGTGGGGCAAACAGGGGCTCCATAGAGTCACGGAAGTGAAAAATCACAACAAAGGGGATGGGGACTAGTCCAAGTGAAGTCCATCTGGGTTTGCTAACTAGCACTCATCCAAGTAAGGCTCCTGTCTCCCCAGAGGCTGGGAGACAGGGCCCCTATCTTCAGGTGTTGGGTGGAACTACCAGTTAAGTTCTTGTGGCAGTCTTGAGTTTTCTTAGACAGGTACTTTAAGCGGGGGCTGGGGTTATTCTGGGGATGTGACCTTGAGCTGTTTCTAAAGATGTCTTAAAATAAAGATATCTTCAGATGTCTGAAGTTTTTTTCTCCTCCATTGGTTTATGAATTCTTTATACATTCTGGGTACAGATCTTCTGTTATTTGTGTTACAGATATTTTCTTTAGTCTGTGGCTTGCCCTTTTACCTTCTGAATATTGTATTTTTTATGAAAAGAGATAGAAATTCTTAATTTGAAGGATTAAATTTGTCAATATTTTCTTTTATGGTTAATGCTTCCTTATTTTTTTTAAATAGACATTGTTTTTTAGGTTTTATGTTCAGTTTTAGCACAGCAAAATTGAAAAGAAAGTACAGAGAGTTTCTATATATTCCCTGCCCCCAGATAGCCTCCCCAGCTATCAACATCCCGTACCATCATGGTATATATAACTGATGAAGCTACTTTGACTCGTCATTATCACCGAAAGTCCATAGTTTACATTAGGGTTCACTCTAAGTGTTGTACATTCTGTGGGGTTGGACAAATATATAATGAAATGTATCCATCATTATAGCATTATACAGAATAGTTTCACTGCTCTTACAATCCTCTCTTCCCACTAACCCCTGGAAACCACTGATCATTTTACTGTCTCCACAGTTTTGACTTTTCAGGAATGTCATATAGTCAGAATCATACAGTATGTAGCCTTTTCAGAGTGGCTTCTTTCACTTATATGAGCATTTAACTTTCCTCTGTCTTTTCATGGCTTGGTAGCAGTTTCCTTTTTAGCACTGCATAATATGCCATTGTCTGGATCTACCATAGTTTATTCACTACTTAAGCACATCTTGATTGCATTTAAGTTTTGGCAATTCTGAATAAAGCTGCTATAAACATCTGTGCGTAGGCTTTTGTGTGGGGAAATACAGAGGTAAAATAAAAGGAATATGATTGCTGATAAGAATGTGTTTAGTTTTGTTAGAAACTGCCAAACTGCCAAAATGGTCGTTCCATTTCGCCATCTCATCAGCAATGAGTGAGAGTGCCTGTTGTTCCACATCCTCACCAGCCTTTGGTGTTGTCCATGTTTTGGATTTTTGACATTCTAATAGCTGTGAAGTGGTATTTCAGTGTTGTATTAATTGTCCATTCCCTTCTGACATATGATGTTTAACATCTTTTCATTTGCTTATTTGCCATCTGTGTAGCTTCTTTGGTAAGGTGTCTGTTCATATATTTTAACCATTTTTTAATTGGGTTGTTTGTTTTCTTATTGTTGAACATTAGGAACTCTATATTTTGGATAACAGTCATATGTTGCATTTATGCATTAGGCTTAATTTCTGTTCCATGTTTCCACAACTTTGAGGAGTATCAATAGTGCACCTTTTGTCCTTGCAGGAGCATTAGAACCTTAGCTCCTAGGTTCTAGGGCAGTGATGGCGAACCTATGACACATGTCAGAGGTGACACGCGAACTCATTTTTTTGGTTGATTTTTCTTTGTTAAATGGCATTTAAATATATAAAATAAATATCAAAAATATAAGTCTTTGTTTTACTATGGTTGCAAATATCAAAAAATTTCTATATGTGACACGGCACCAGAGTTAAGTTAGGGTTTTTCAAAATGCTGACATGCCGAGCTCAAAAGGTTCGCCATCACTGTTCTAGGGTCTAAAATCCCATGGGGGCACTTAGAATGCGCTCACCCTGGCTTTGATTTCTCCCCTCCTCATTCTTTTGGGCCTCAGAGAAAACTGCCCCTAAATCAAGATACAAGGTCTCACTACCCCTTAAAGGGATGTGTGGTTGTAATGGGGCAGGTGAGTCTTGGTATGGGCAGCTCAGAATAGTGGAACAACACCTGGAGTTTTAAGCTGACAGTAGCTATCACTTACCAGTCAAACAAATATATGATGATGATGATGTGAATTTTCTAAGTAGTTTGGTCATGTGCTCTTTTGCAAATACAGTTATTAGTTAAATACTCTTCCTTTTCAGATGTGCGTTCCAAACAGGAATACGATGAAAGCCATGTGATTACAGCCCGTCGAGTGAAGAAGGTATCCTGGTAGAGTCAGAATCTGGGGCAGGCTGGCTGTCTTACAGAGGATGGGAAGAGTGGGAAGTTTTATCCTAGATCCAGGAGGTGGCATGTACTGTTGGACACTTTGGAGAGCAGAGGCAGGACCACCCTTGTGCATCCAACATGAGGGTCTCCCACACTCTCACACACTCCCTAGGGTGTCTTACCACCATGGTCAAAAGCTTCATCAAACAAATATTGATTTAATTCCTTTATGTGCCAGGCACTGTTCTAGACCCTGGTGGTAGAACAAAATACAAGATGCCCTTAATTCATTGTCCCTGTCCTCTCAGAGCTTTTGTTCTACTTAGGGAACAGACCAGAAGAGAGTCTGTTCCATATACATTTATCCAATATGGTTTATTCCACTTGGAACTCAAAGATTGAAACAGCTCCCTCCCATTTCCATCAGATCCCTCCCCATCTTCCTTTCTCCATTCCAACTATTTAAAAAGACAAAGCCCTTCTTCAGCAGTCAACCATACCCGACTCAGGGAGTGAGGCCCTTTTCTCTATCTCCACGGAGTATCTTCTTTCTCAAGACATTGTCAAGCCTGGCAGCCTTCACTCAGGATCCACCTCTGATCTCTGCAGTCCTGACCACATTCTCTGCCCTTGACTTCCAGGTTCTTTCTTGCCTCCCTGGTTCCTTCTCTGTCTCTTTGCGGACTGAAGGGTCCTGGGTTCGATTCCGGTCAAGGGCATGTACCTTGGTTGCGGGCACATTCCCAGTAGCGGGTGTGCAGGAGGCAGCTGATTGATGTTTCTCTCTCATCGATGTTTCTAACTCTCTATCCCTCTCCCTTCCTCTCTGCAAAAAATCAATAAAATATATTTTTAAAAAAAGATCTTACCCAAGCTTCCAGCTTCAAGTATGCACATAGTTGAGCTGTCCTGTCAGTTTTACTTCTAAAAGTGTGTCCCACTGCCACTTTGGTAATTCTAACTCTAGCTCTTTCCCAGACATAACTCGACAAGGAGCATGGGCCCTGGCTCATGTATTTTTCCAGGATAAGCTTGCTGCCTAATATGCTTTCCCAAACACAATCCATCTTTATCTTTTTTTTTTTGGTGTGTTTTTCTATTTGTTTTTTTGCTCTTGGATTTTCAACTCCCTGGCTCCATTCCTCTAGCTCTAAATCCCCTGCATTTCCTTCTTTGCTTTTTGTAGCCTATTCAGAGCCCCTTCAAGATGCAGAAAAAGCATTTGACAAAATCCAACACCTGAACCAAGAACACTATCGAACCATGAACCAAGAGATCACTAGTTCAATTCCAGGTCAAAGCACATGCCTGGGTTGTGGGGTCAATCCCCAGTAGGGGGCATGCAGAAGGTAGCTGATCAGTGTTTCTCTCTCATCAATGTTTCTGTCTCTCTCCCTCTTCCTTCTTCTCTCTCTAAAAAATCAATAAAAATGTATTTTAAAAAATCTCTGTATTCCAGAACCTACAGTGTAAGTGCAAAGTAGGTCCTGAATGAATGTTTATTGAATAACTGGATGAATGTCCAGCCACACCTCTCCCTGCTATCCCATTTGCTCCACTTTTCCCTTTGCTCATGCTCTTTTCCAACCCAGAACCCCCCTTTCCTCATTATCACCTGAATGAATCCTGCTCATAATCTGAGCACCAATGGTCTGCTAATTCCTGTAGACAAATATGATTTCTCCCCTTCAAGTTCCAGAGAACTTCCCTGTACCTGTATGGGTTTTATCTCTCTGCCTTATAGAGTAGATGTGTACTAGTCCTAGCCCACATGCAGGTCCTCTGTCAGGGCCTCTATGTCAACCAAACTAGTCCTAAGGGACAGAGTAAGACTCAGGTTCCCCTGAGTTAGTGGGGACTTTCAGGAAGCATTGAGAACAAATGAGGACTAACCTCCGGGCCGGTGCCCTGCCAGGTCTCTGGGGCTCTGGAATACCCTTTGGGATCCTAGGAAAGTCTGGTTCTGTGAGAGCTCATTCCCTTGTGGGCAGAAGGCACCCGTTGTTCCTGCCCTTGTGTCCACCATGATGGTGACTCAGCCACTTCCTAACTACTTTTCATGACCTCATGGACCTGTTTGCCCATTCCTTCCTTTAACCATATTTATGGCCTAACGTGCCAGGCATTGTTCTAGAAATTCAGGATACATCAGTGTTCCTGCTCTCACAAAGCTTATATTTGAGCTTATGGTTGGCCTCATTTTGTCTGCTTGCTTATGATTTCTGCTTATTCAGATGTTCTTATGAGGGATTTTGGCTTTGGCCCCTATCAACAACCCCTTGCCCCCCAGAGATAGGATATGTTAGTTCAGTTGGTGAGTCAGTAGGCAGGCTGTTCTTTGGTCAGGCACTTATTTCTGGTCCAGTCAACTGTGGTCAGCTTTTCATAGCAGGGGATGAAGGTGTGGAAGATCATTGGAATTTAGTAGACTCTCCAGTCAGCTCTCAGTGCTCTGTGCCCATGTGCAGTCAGGCAAACAGGCACAGTCCTACCTCCAGCTCCTCCTGGTGCTGGTGTGCATCTGAACCCACCTGCCAACAGGCTTCTCTTGTGGTTTCTTTAGAAGGCAGATGAATATCTTATCCCGGAGTCTGTGGATCTCGAGTGTGTGAAGTACTGTGTGGTGTATGATAACAATTCCAGCTGCCTGGACCTAATCAGAGATGACAGTGACAACTCTGGCAGTGAAAACGGTAGGTTTTACACTAGCCATAGAATAAGTTAACAGTTATTCAACACTTCCGACACATGCCAGGAACCATGTCAGGTGCTCTCCCTGGATCAACTCATGCAGTCTGCAGTACATCCCTATGAGGATGGCAATATGAAGAACTGGGAAGAGCTCTGAACCTGCCACCGTTTCAGAGATGCTGGCTGAAGACATGAGGCTCCTGGGTCAGAGACAAAGGACTTTATTACTCAGAGCAATTAAAAATAACCAGAATGTCTTCATTTTCCTGCACTCGTGCCCAAGTCTCAGTTCTCACAGGGTGACATGAAGACAGCCAAGTACACTTATTCATGTAGTGCATTGTATTTTAGAAGAACTCTGAGCTTAGGGGGCCTGAATCTTATAATGGGCAGAAGCCTACCCATCCTTGGCTCCGGAGGAAAAAACAGTCTCTCTTCTAAAGCTGTTGGTTATATAAATATCCTTGAAAAGCCACTGCCTTGTTTAAAGGACATGTCAAGATGTGAGAGACCATGGAGAATTGTCTCCTAAAAGGTAACATCCCCATTTTATAGATGGGGGAATTAGGGCCCAGAAAGGCAAAGTAACTTGCCCAAGATCTCACACCTAGAGAATGATCTATTGCCATATAGCAAGCTACCACCAAACTCAGTAGCTGGATATAACAAACAGTAATTATCTCATAGTTTCTGTGGGTCCAGAATTCAGGAGCAGCTTAGCCGGCAGGTTCTGGTACAGTCTATCCTGAGGTTGTAGTCAAGGTGTCAGCCAAGGTTGCTGTCATTGGAAGGTCTGACTAGGCCAGGATGATCTCCATCTGAGATTACTCTCTCACATGGCTATAGCCAGGAGGCCCCAGTTTCATTCCGGCTGTTGGTAGGAGACTTTAGTTCCTCACCACATACACCTCTCCATAGGTTGCTTGCATGGCCTCGTGACATGGCAGCTGGTACTCCCCGCCCCCCAGAGTGAGCGATCAGAAAGAGAGAAAGAAAGGGAAAGCCACGTGTCTTTTATAACCTAGTCTTGGGGCTTATACACAGTTGCTTCCACCACATTCTATTCATTAGAGGGAAGTCACTGAGTATAGTCTACCCTAAAGGGGAGGGGAATTAGACTCAACCTTTTAAAGGGAGGCATTTGAAAGAATTTGTGGACTTTTTTAAAAAAAAACACACCTAGTAAGTGGTGGGCCAGGATTCAAACCTAGGCAGTTTGGCTCTGTCTAGTCTTCTGAGGCCTGAGTAGTGATGTTGGAAAACAATGCAAAGTCACTCAAGCCCTGAGCTGGAGCATTAAAACGTGATTGGTTCTAATGTGCTTTACTGATGTTCCACAGCAATCTCCATTCAGCCACTGCTTTGGGCTGACCGCCCCTGGCCATTGACATGGGGCTCTGCTGTTTGTGGCTCAGTCACTGTGTGTAGGTGGGTCTCCATGAGCTGGGGCATTCACACAAATGGTCACTGGGTGGCACTAGGTTTCCACCTTTAATAAAGCCAGTCTTCCCAGGAGGTCCTTAGCCAGGAAATTATCTTCCCCAAGTTCTCACAGTCTGCAGTACATTCCTATGAAGGTGGGTCTGGTCTGCCAATCCTGGGATTGTAGGCTGGACCCTGAAACCCTAGGGAACAGTGCTCAATAAAAATAACCCTCTCTGCATTGTATAACTGACCTCACTGTGCTATGCAGCCCCTGTTCTCACTGAGTAGGTAACTACAGTCACAAAATAACAGCAAAACAATAAAAACCAAAACCACACGTGCACGCACCTTGCCCACTCAAGGCAACTTTTCTCCTTTAAAGTGGCATCTTTCAGGTAAATTTAGTCTTTGGGGTAGAAGACCATATCAAGGTTTCTCTCACCACCCCTTTCTCCTTTCCACTGTTAAGCACCCACCTCCCTGACCCTCAAGAAATTCTGGGAAAGATTTCCTTGAGGGGGAACCTTCACATCCTCGAAGCAGGTGTTGGTCTCTATGTAGACCTTTTCTGCTGACCTTTGGAAGAGGTGCAGCCCAGCCTATGGGGCCTTTGGCCATGGGCTGTGCCCAAAATGTCCACGTAAGTCATGAGCGGTTCCCTTCGCCTTGTCAGTGCATGGCGCTGGATCCTGGGGTCTCAGCCTTGTGCCCTCCTATCCAGGCTTTCCCTGACATTCCACACGTGCTCATCCCTGGGCCTGCTGCAGCTTTAGGTTAACACTCCACACCTCTGCTGCGGGAGTCTCAGAATCCTAGTGGGAAATGGGGCACAGCTGGTTTTAGCTCTCTATCCCCCTCAGCTGGGTGTCTTCTTAGGAATCCAGGAAGTATCTTCCCTTGTCTTAGTCTCTAGGATGCTCTCTCTAAGCTCTTTTTAGCATGCAAAGGGCAGCCCCCTTCTTGTATGAGCAACATTTCCCTTATGTTAAATCATCCTTGCAAACATGGATTAGAGACACCCACAATGGGCTCATGATATGTGTGGGTGGAGCTCCCTGGACCAGGACATTTACACCAACTGTGAAGAGAAGCTTTGGGAATTTTTGGATTCCTTTCCTCCTTCCTCAGAACAGTCTGACTTTCAAGACAATTGTTTGGCTAGGGACCTCAAATAATTTAACTTAAAGGTCAGGCTGAATGATGACTCCCTTGTACCAGGTGGTTGCCCTCCTCCCCTTGAAGCAGTGGGTGACCCACTTCAAGGTGTGAGAAACCTCATGTCAATGGAGAACTCAAGATTAATGGGAATAGAAATGAACAAATAAAAAAAACCATTTTTTGTTGTTGTTGTTGTTAATCCTTACTGGAGGATATTTTTTCCATTGATTTTTTTTAAGAGAATGGAGGGAGTGGGAGAGACAGAGAGAAAGAAACATTAATGTGTGAGAGATACATCAATTGGTTGCCTTGGGCACATGCCCCGACCTACCAGGCTGGAGACCAAGCCTGCAACTGAGGTATGTGCCCTTGGCCTGAATCAAACCTGCGACTCTTCAGTCCACAGGCTGATGCTCCAACCACTGACCTAAACCAGCTAGAGCGAAATGAACAACTTTAATGTTTCAAAAACACTAACCCCATTACATCCTTGCTGGATAACCTGGGCCCTGGCTTTCCTTCTGAGTCTCTAATTATCTCCTGGAAATTGGCCTTCCTCCTTCTCTGACCCCATCATCCCTGTATGTGAATACTCCAGCTGGTTGTGTGACATTGGCAGGGGAGCAGCTGTCTAGTTTAAAGGCAGTAGTGGCCTGGAACTCTCTCCCTAACTCACCTGGACCCCCTGACCTACCCCATTAGTCTCTTACTCAAGAGGGAGATGGGGCCGAAACCGGTTTGGCTCAGTGGATAGAGCGTCCAAGTCAGGCTCTCAGGGGTGGGCTTTGGCTCCTGTTTTGCCAGCTACAGGTTTCCTCCTGGCCTTGCTATTGTCTGCAGGCTCTTTCCCCAAATACAGTTTCTCCAGATGGGTCTCAAGCGGCTTTCGTCCTCAGCAGCCCCTGCTGGAATTGGCCTTCTTTCCCTGGACAAAAGTTCATTATAGCTGTCAGAGTCCATGCCCATCCCTTTCTCCTTTAGCTAACTTTCCAGAGTCTGCTGCACAGTATTTCTCTTTAGTGGTCAGATCCTGGCCTTGGAATATTTTGGCTTAGTCTTTTTTTTTTAAATATATTTTATTGATTTCTTACAGAGAGAGTAAGGGAGAAGGATAGAGAGCTAGAAACATCGATGAGAGGGAAACATCGATCAGCTGCCTCCTGCATACTCCCCACTGGGGATGTGCCCACAACCAAGGTACATGCCCTTGACCGGAATCGAACCCGGGACCCTTCAGTCCCCAGGCCGATGCTGTATCCACTGAGCCAAACCAACTTCCTACCACATATATCTAATTTGCATATAGTCTAATAGTGAATCTATAGATCAATGAAAGCATTTTAAATTAAATTGATGTCAAAACCACAATGAGGCCCTGGCTGGTTTGGCTCAGTGGATAGAGTATCGGCCTGTGGACTGAAAGGTACTGGGTTTGTTTCTAGGCAAGGCACATGCCCAGGTTGCGGGCTCAATCCCCAGTGTGGGGCTTGCAGGAGGCAGCCGATCAATAATTCTCTCTCATCATTGATGTTTCTATCTCTCTCTCCCTCTCCTTTCCTCTCTGAAATAAATAAAAATATATTTAAAAAAAAAATCACAATGAGATAACACTTCACACCCACTAGGTTGGCTATAATAAAAAAGACAATTGTTGACGAGGATGTAGAAAAATTTCAACACTCATACACTGCTGGTTGGAATGTAAAATGGTGCAGTCACTGTGGAAAGTTTGGCACTTTCCTCAAAAGTTAGATGTAGGGTTATTACATGGTTCAGCAATTTCACTCCTAGGAATGTACCCAAGAGAAATAAAAACATGTGCACACAAAAACTTGCTCATGAATGTTCATAGCAGCATTATTTCTAATTGCCAAAAAGTGGAAACAACCTAAACATCCGCCAATATTTATGAATGGATTATGAATATTATATTGTGTGGTAGAGCCACACAATATATTATTATTCAACTGTAAAAAGGAATGAAGTGCTGACATGTGCTACAACATAGATGAACTTTCAAAACATTATGCCAAGTGAAATAAGTCAGACATAATGTATGAGTCCATTTATATGAAATGTCTAGAATAGGAAAAACCATAGAGAAGTTAGATTAGCAGTTGCCTAGAGCTGAGTCTTTGGAGGGAAATGAGGAGTGAACCCCTCTCACTGGTACAGGGTTTCTTGGGTGATGAAAATATTCTAAAATTGTGGTGATGATTATACAACTCTGTGACTAAACTAAAAACCATTGACTTGTACACTAGCTGTACCCTGTACAATAGGGGACTTGTATGGTACACATAATGTGGCATACAATATATGATACTATATATATTTACAGAAAAAGATTAACTTTCTTGATGGTAAGTTGATTTTACATTTTAATTGTAACACCCATATCTATATTTGCTTCAGCCTCCTAGATAATTGCTTTTCAGAATAAAGTGGCCATTCGTTGAAGCTTTAGACAAATGGGGAACACAGGACACATTCATTTCTTTGGTCTCCACTCTTAGACCTGTTGCCCAGAGGAGCTGCCATTGAATGTGGCAAAGCCTTAGCTCACCTCACCCGCCACCCCGTCCAGATCCTGAGAGGGGGCTATGAGTCTTTCTCAGCCAAGTACCACTTTTTCCGGACGCAGAAGATTATCTGGATGCCGCAGGTAAGGCAGGGTGCTGAACACAGGCAGGCTCAGATGGGAGCGTGGCCTTCCCTTGAAAACCATGGGTTGGGGAACAAGGTAGGAGAAAGAGGAGACAGACAACATGGAAAAGATGGAAGAAATATTGAAGGCTGGGCTTGGGAAATGAACTTGGGGTAGCCAGGAGGTCCAGTCCAAGATTATGAATTTATAATTGTCACATTTGGGGAAAAGCCAACATGGAGTTTAAAAGATGAGGCCTATTCAGAAGGCAGGGGAATTCTGGATTGTGGGTTATAGTCGAAGTCAGAAAGGCAGGGATGATTCAAGCTGCCTCAACTTTCTTAACTTTTGGGTCCAGAGGATACAAAAAGGTGAGAAAGCAGTCCCTGCCTTTGAGAAGTTCTTATCTAGTAGGGGAGTCAAGGGGTGTGGCCAAGAGGCACACGAGGTGTATGGAGCCCAGAGGAGAGGCACTACCTTCTGGAGCCAAATCTAAAGGAGGAGGAGCTTGTGAGGAAGAGGGGTGAGGGCATGTAAAGCAAGCATTGGATAGCCATGATTGGCAGGCAGGAATCCATCCCTAGGCGGCATTGTGCCGTACCTGGTTTATTGAGGAATCTGACTGCAGTGGAATGCAAACATCTAAGGGTTTCATTCTTTTCAGTAATTGCCTTTAGCTGTGCTCTCATTTTTGCCCTTAGTATCATCTTGTGGAGATTCCATACTTTCTGGCCACTTTCAATTATGAAAAATTTCAATTTAGTCATAAAATGATTTGAGAAATGTGCATATTAACTGGGCATTTGATAATAGTAAGGAATTATTATACAGGGTAGGACAAAAGTAGGTTTATAGTTTGTATGGAAAATAATAATAAATAATAATACAAGAATAAACTCTTGTTTTGTATACTCACAATTGTAAACTTTTGCCCCACCCTGTGTTTCTTTCTTTTTTTAAATATATTTTATTGATTTTTTACAGAGAGGAAGAGAGAGGGATAGAGAGTTAGAAACATCGATGAGAGAGAAACATCGATCAGCTGCCTCCTGCACACTCCCCGCGGGGGATGTGCCTGCAAGCAAGGTACATGCCCTTGACCGGAATCAAACCTGGGACCCTTGAGTCCGCAGGCTGACGCTCTATCCGCTGAGCCAAACCTGTTAGGGCTACCCTGTGTTTCTTTAGGATGTGATGGATGTGATGACATTATTATGGTTATATTTTTTAAAATATGAGTTGGGCCCTAGCCAGTTTGGCTTAGTGCAGACTGAAAGGTCCCAGGTTCAATTCCGGTCAAGTGCATATACCTTGGTTGCAGGCACATCCCCTGCAGGAGGTGTGCAGGAGGCAGGTAATCGATGTTTCTCTCTCATCGATGTTTCTAACTCTCTATCCCTCTCCCTTCCTCTCTGTAAAAAATCAATAAAAATATATTTTAAAAAATGTTTAAAATATGAGTTGGTATCTTTTAGAGAGACATAATGAAATATTTATGGGTAAAATAATATGATGTCTGAGATCTCCTTCAAAATAATCTGGGATTGGTTGGAAGTCAGTATAGATGAAACAAAATTGGCCATTAGTTGATAATGTTTGCAGAGGGGTGATAGATCTAGGGGCTTATTACACTGTTCTTTCTACTTTTGTGTATTTTTGAAATAATTTTTAAAAGGGAATAAGGAAAGTCAGTCTAGTACAAGCTAGGCTGGTTTAACATTCCAATCTCAAACCAAATCTCATCTCTTCTCATTCCCAGAATTGGGCAGCTTTGGGTTTGCCGGGGGCTGAGAGTGGGGAAGGGTGTGGGTTAGCTTCAAGGACATCTCCTCTCTTCCAACCTTCGGGGCCTGGCCCCTTTGGCTGTTGCCGGTCGGTGGAGGGGAGGTGCCTTTTTCTCACTCTGACTTCACCTGGTTCTGTGTGTTGCTGGTGGCCTTTGTTGCCAGTTTCCTTGGAGCTTTGTTGGGGAGGAGAGCTGTTAATTATTGAAGATTCCTCAGAGAGAGAGCCAGCTGAGATTTTAAGCCAGGAATACCCTTAATTCCCAACCTTTTCCTTCCTTTGGTAGCCCATGACCCCCCATCCATCCATACTCTTTCACCTGAATTCCCGAATGAGCCACAAGGGACTGTGATCACTGTAGCCTCTCCTTGCCTTGCTGACTTGGCAGTTCCAACCAGCCTGTGCAAAAGGTGAGGACCCATGTCTGTGGTCATACCTGTTCCCATATCTAGCTCTCCAAGGGACTATCTTCTGTACTTTCATGGAGGTAACCACACTATGATTTTCAGCTCAACAGGTATATAGCCAATCTCCCCATCCTACAGACACTCCTTACTCCTAGAGGAGCACCGCCTACTGGCTTTGCAGTGTTCAGAGGCAGTATTTCTCTACAAACATGACACTGCTGATAACTCATTGCCCCTCCCCTTTTAAAGTTTTATTAAGCTATAATTGACATAGGAATAACTGCACATGTTTAAAATGTACAATGTGGTGAGTTTTGACATGTATGTACATCTGTGACTTGCCTTATATATATAGACTAGAGGCCCCGTGCACAAAAATTTGTGCACTCGGGGGGCGGGGGGAGGGGGGGTCCCCCAGCCCGGCCTGTGCCCTCTCGCAGTCTGGGACCCCTCGGGAGATAACGACCTGCTGGCTTAGGCCTGCTCCCGGGTGGCAGAGGGCAGGCCCAATCCCTAAGTGCAGCCCCTGGTCAGGCTCAGAGCAGGGCCAATTGGGGAGTTGGGGCACCGCCCCCTGTCATGCACAGAGCAGGGCGGATTGGGAGGTTGCGATGCCACCCTCAGTCACGCTCAGGGTAGGGCCGATTGGGGGGTTGGGGCACCGCCCCCTGTCACACTCAAGGCAGGGTCGATGGGGAGGTTTTGGCGCCACCCCCTGTCACGCACAGAGCAGGGCCCATCAGGGGGTTGGGGAGCTCCCCCCTGTCACTCACAGGAGTAGGGGCCGATAGGGGAGTTAGGGCATCGCCCCTGTCACACACAGAGCAGGGCGGAATCAGGGGTTGGGGCGCCGCACTGTCACACTCAGGGCAGGGCCGGATGGGGAGGTTATGGCTCTACCCTGTCACACACAGAGCAGGGCGATCAGGGGGTTGGGACGCCGCACCCTGTCACACACACAGCCGCAGGGAAATCAGGGGGTTTGAGTTCTGCCCCCTGTCACGCTGATTCGGTGCCAGGAGGCATATTATCCTTTTACTATATAGGATAGGGGCCTGGGGGGCGCTGCCCCCTGTCACGCTGATCCCGGTGCCGGGAGGCATATTACCCTTTTACTATATAGAATAGAGGCCTGGGGGCCGGCTGGTTTGCCCTGAAGGGTGTCCTGGATCAGGGTGGGGGTCCCCACTGGGGTGCCTGGCCAGTCTGGGTGAGGGGCTGAGGGCTGCTTTCAGGCTGGCGGTTGTTGACTGAAGCTCCCAACTGCTCCTTTATTTCTTTTTTTTTTTTATTATTTATTCTGGGCCAGCTTTAGCTCTGGCTCAGAGCAGGGCTGAGGCTTCTGCTGCTGAAAACAGGTATCTGGTTTGTTTGCGTTCTATAATTGAACAATGTATAACTCCAGCTCTGAGATCCCGGCTGGCTGAAAGCTGGTTTCTGGGGTTTTGTTTAGCTTCTATATTTGTTAGAATGTTTCAAACTGCCAGCTCAGAGGCCGGCAAGTCAGGCGGGGAACGTTGGAGTCTGCAGTCACTGGAGCAAGCAAGCCTCATGTTCGCTTCCAGCTGCCTGGCTGCCGGCCGCCATCTTGGCTGACAGTTAATTTGCATAAGGATATGCTGATTAGCCAATGGGAAGGGTAGCAGTCGTATGCTAATTACCATGTTTCTCTTTTATTAGTGTAGACTAGAGGCCCGGTGCACAAAAATTTGTGCACTCAGGGGGGTCCCTCAGCCCGGCCTGTGCCCTCTCGCAGTCTGGGACCCCTTGGGGGATTTCCACCTGCTGGCTTAGGCCCGCTCCCCGGGGATTGGGCCTAAGATGGCAATCAGACATCCCTCTGGCAGCCCGGCAGCCCTCGGGGGATGTCCACTTGCCAGTGGGGAGCAGACCTAAGCTGCAGTTGGACATCCTTAGCACTGCTGAGGAGGCAGGAGAGGCTCCCACCACCACTGCTGTACTGGCAGCCATCAGCCTGGCTTGTGGCTGAGCAGAGCTCCTCCCATGTGGGAGCGCCCTGACCACTAGAGGGCAGCTCCTGCATTGAGCGTCTGCCCCCTGGTGGTCAGTGTGTGTCATAGTGACCAGTCATTCCCAGTCCTTCTGCTGTTAGGGTCAGTTTGCATATTACCCTTTTACTATATAGGATAGAGGCCTGGTGCATGGGTGGGGGCCGGCTGGTTTGCCCTGAAGAGTGTCCCGGATCAGGGTGGGGGTCCCGCTGGGGTGCCTGGCCAGTCTGGGTGAGGGGCTGAGGGCCGTTTTCAGGCTGGTGGGTGACTAAAGCTCCCAACCTCTCCTTTTTTTCTTTTTCTTTTTTATTCTGGGATTTATTTACCTTCTATGGCTGTCACTGGAACTGAGAGCTGGCTTTAGCTCCGAGGCTCGGCTCCAGCTCTGAGACCTCGGCTGCTGAAAGCAGGTATCTGGGTTTGTTTGGTTTCTATAATTGAAACACTGTTGCAACTTCAGCTCTAAGGCTCAGTTGGCTGAAAGCAGGTTTCTGGGGTTTGTTTAGCTTCTATAATTGCAACATAGTTGCTTAGAGTGCAGCTCAGAGGCCCGCAGCGGCAGGCAGGGAACCTTGGCTTCCTCCATCACTGGAGCAAGCAAGCCTCATGTTGGCTTCAGCTACCTGGCTGCCGGCCGCCATCTTGGTTGGCAGTTAATATGCATATCGCCCTGATTAGCCAATGGGAAGGGTAGCGAAGTTACGGTTAATTACCATGTTTGTCTATTATTAGATAGGACTAGAGGGGTGTCCCTCAGCCCAGCCTGCACCCTCTCCAATCTGGACCTCCTTGAGAGATGTTCGACTGCCTATGGGATCGGGACTATACCAGCAGTCGGACATCCCTCTCACAATCTGGGACTGCTGGCTCCCATCCGCTTGCCTGCGTGCCTGCTTGATTGCCCCTAACCACTTCTGCCTGCCAGCCTGATCACCCCTAACCACTCCCCTGCCAGCCTGATCGATGCCTAACTGCTCCCCTGATGGCCCGATAGCCCCCAACTGCCCTCCCCTGCAGGCCTGGTCGCCCCCAACTGCCCTCCCCTGCAGGCCTGGTTGCCCCCAACTGCCCTTCCCTGATGGCCTGGTCGCCCCTAACTGCCCTCCCCTGCTGGCCTGATCGCCCACAACTGCCCTCCCTACTGGCCATCTTGTGGTGGCCATCTTTGATGACATGGGGGCAGCCTTCTTGTGTGTTGGAGTGATGGTCAATTTGCATATTACTCTTTTATTAGATAGGATGCTCCAATGAGCATCTGGGTGCAGATATCTCTTTGAGGTAGTGATTTTGTTTCCTTTGAATATATACTCAGAAGTGGGATTAGTGGATCATAGGGTAGTTCCATTATAATTTTTTAAGAACCTCCATACTATTTCCATTAGTGGCTGGAGTTAGTGGATTTCTTTACTGCCACACTTCTTTGAGCCTTTCATTGCTAATGTGTATGGTGAGTTTCTGAGAGAGGAATATGCTTCCCATATGTACTTGGTTCTCTGAACCCTTTTTTTCACAGTGCATTGTGAGGGACCAGTGCTTCTTACACTTTGGGGAATGTAGAAATAATCCTTCTCTTTGTTTCTTTGTTTTTCAAAGAAATCAACATTTTTCTTATTATAACTTTGGACCTGGAATTCAGTAAGCTTCCATTTAAGTGGTAGCCTATTCTTCCTACCTCTCTGTCAAAACTCATCAGAACTTCATCAGAATTCATTTCCTAATGACAAATAGGCTCTTGTGAGGTGTTGTGTTTTTTTTTAAGTATTTAAGTTCTGGTGGACTCTGAGTATAATAAAAGGGCTGTTCTTTCCAAGCCGGTGTGGTTCAGTGGTTGAGCATCTACCCGTGAACTAGGAAGTCACAGTTGGATTCCTGGTCAGGGCACATGCCTGGGTTGCATGCTTGATCCCAGTAGGGGGTGTGCAGGAGGTAGCCAATCGATGATTTCATCATTGATGTTTCTATCACTCTCTCTCTTCTTCTCTTGAAATAAATAAAAACGTATTTTTTAAAAAGGGCTGATTTTTTTATGCAGTTGTTGGCCGCAGGGTATTAGACTCCACGGCCAAATGCAAACATGTGCCAAGGAAGGAAGAAGGATGTTGATGTTCAGATTCAGCATGCTTTAGCATGATGCTATGCTATAGCTCAGTCCTATGTTACTACCAGCCCTGTACCTCCTCATGCAAGTTGTTACTTGCCAATCTCTTTGAATGCCCAGATCTCAATTTCATTCACTGTCCTGGATGAACTTTCTAAGCGTGTTTGCTGAGCCACATTTTAAGAGACCAATCTCCCCAACCCCAAATGAAAACAACTTCCCTGGGGAATATTTATAGCAACCTCTCTCCTTCCCCACCCCAGGAATTGGATGAATTTCAGCCCTACCCTGTTGAAATAGTGCCAGGAAGCATCGATTGTAACTGCGTATTACCAAATATTTGTTTGTAATCCACCCTTTTGGTGGATGGAACAAAACCAAAAGACAGAGCCATCTTATATTTTGGCGGGAAATTCACCCGCACTCCAAGTGTTAAGTATCATTTGTTTATATAAGATTCCTGGTGACATGCATATAGAAAGTTGAAAGGTCTCTTAGAAGACAGCATATACTGGAGTAGGGTCTTCACTTTTAACTTCACCTGTTCCTGGCGTATAGTCTGTTTCCTGGCTTCGCTGTGGCATCCTTTGCCCCTAACCAAGATCCCATACTGCCTTCAAATCTCGCCAAAAGTAAAACTTTCCTGGTTTTTAACATTGTGGTCAAAATATCCTATTCTATCCTGCTATGCCATCTCAGGCCCTCTGAGAAATAATTCCTATCTTAGTTCATTCAGGCTGCTATAACGGAATACCATTGACTGGTGGCTTATAAAACACAGAAATTTATTATCATGGTGTGGAGACTGGGATATCGAAGATCAGTGCAGCAGGGATTTGCTATCTAGTGAGAGCCTGCCTTCTGGTTCATAGACAGCCATATTTCCACTGTGTCCTCACATGGTAGAAGGGGCAAGAGAACTCTCTGGGGCCTCCCATTCATGAGGCTCCAAGCTCAGGGTCAGATTTACAACAAATAAACGGACAAAACATCTAAAACAATGTTTTTCAGACAGTGGTTAATTGCACAGGACAATGATTCCAAAATGAATGGAAAAAAACAAAGTGAGCCCCACATCAGTTTAGCTTATTTCTTGGAGATTGCTAGAGCCCTACAATTAATTTAGCTTACTTCTTGGAGATTGTTTGAAGGGGACCAAAACAGATCTTCTCATTCTTTTTCTTTCTTTGTTTTTTTATTGTTATTCTTCACCAGAGGATATTTTTCCATTGATTTTTAGAGAGAGTGGAAGAGAGAGGTTAAGACACAGAGAGAAACATTGATGTGAAAGAAATACATCAGTTGGTTGCCTCTGATTAGGGTCTGGGCCCTCACTCTAACCACTGAGAAACACTGGCCAGGGCCTGTCATTCTTTTTGAATTGAGGGTATAGAATAGAGTCAAGAATCCAGAGAGGTCAAGTTGGCTAGAATTCTCAAGAGAGACCTGCATGATAAATAGAGGGCTGAATACAAAGAAAGGGCTCTGGACATCTGCAGAGAGCCCCCCTGTGTCTTCAACTGAGTACATATAAGCACATGCATGTGAGGAAATGACTCAAGGCTGGGAGAAAAAACAGTGGAAATTAATGGACAGTACAATCCTCAGAGATGATGTGGGGCCAGGAGTCATTTGTATTTCAAGTCAGAGTAGACAAAACTCATAATATACAGGGCATCAAATAGAGTACTGAGAAGAGTATTGTCTCAGTAATGAGGAAAACCTAGCCCCCAATTAGGGATGAAAAATCCAGTGCCAGAAATGAAAAATACTCTAGATCAGTGGTTCTCAACCTTCTGGCCCTTTAAATACAGTTCCTCATGTTGTGACCCAACCATAAAATTATTTTTGTTGCTACTTCATAACTGTAATGTTGCTACTTTTATGAATCATGATGTAAATAACTGATATGCAGGATGGGTCTTAGGCGACCCCTGTGAAAGGGTCGTTCGACCGCCAAAGGGGTCGCGACCCACAGGTTGAGGACTGCTGCTCTAGATGAAATTAATAGCAAATTAGACACTACAGAAAAAAAGATTGGTGAATTTGAAGATATAGCAATAGAAAGTATCCAAAATAAAACATAGAGAAGAAACAGACAAATAAAAAAGAACAGAACTGCCCTAGCTGGTTTGGCTCAATGGATAGAGCCGTCCGGCCTGTGGACTGAAGAGTCCCAGGTTCGATTCTGGCCAAGGTCATATGCCTGGGTTGCTGGCTCAATCCCCAGTCGAGGACATTCAGAAGGCAGCCAATCAATGATTCTCTCTCATCATTGATGTTTCTCTTGCTCTTTCCTTCTCCCTTTATTTCTAAAGTAAATAAAATAATTTAAAAAAAGAACAGAACTTCAGTGAGATTAACATAGTTTCAAGTGGCCTACTACCATATGTGTAATTGGAATTTCCAAAGGAGAGGAAAGTGTGGAGATATTTGAAGAAATAATGGCCAAAATTTTTTCCAAGTTTGATTTAAAAAAACAAAAAAAAACAAAACACCTATAAATTCACAGACCCAAGCATTTCAACTGAAAGAAAACCACAGTAGGCACATCCTCTCAAATTGGTTAATATCAATGAAAAAGATAAAACCTTAAAAGTAGCTAGATAAAAAAGATGTATTACATACCAAGAAATAAAGATAAAGATGGTAGCAGACTTCATATTAGAAACAAAGAAATTGAGAAAACTAAAGTATTAAATGGAAAATGTGAACCTAGAAATATAATCAGTAAAAAATATCTTTCAAATATGAAGAGAAAATACTTTTTCCAGGCATGCAAAAGTTGAAAAAATTAATCAACAAATAAATGTACACTACAAAAAATATTACAGGGAGTCTTTTAGGTAAAAGAAAAACAATACCAGATGGCAACCTGAATATATACAAAAAGAATCAAGATCACCAGAAATGATCCTATATAATAAAAGCCTAATATGCAAATCAACCAAATGGTGGAACAACTGGTGGAACAACCCCTCACTATGACACGCACTGACCACCAGGGGGAAGACACTCAATGCAGGAGCTGCCCCCAGCCTGCAGGCCCCAGGCCAGCCAAGGTGGATGCTAGTGCCCACCCCCCCATTGTCCCACAGATTGGCCCTGATTATTGGCCAGGCCTAGGGACTCTACCTGTACACGAATTTCGTGCACCAGTCCTCTAGTAATTTTATAAAATACTTTCCCCTTGTTTGTAAATCTTTTCAAAGCATATTATTTAAAGACAAAATAACAACAATACATTTTGTGTTTATAGCATAGGTAGAAGTAATATGTATGCCCACAATTTACTAAGGCAGGAAGAGGGAAAATAGAACTATATACTTGTAAGGTTCTTACTCTGTTTACATGAAGTGATATGTTAACTGAAGGTAGACTACAGTAAGTTAAAGATACATTCTATACACTCTAAAACAACCACCAAAAAATAGAACAAAACAAAAATAAAAGAGATATGATTAGTAAGATAACAAAAGATAAATGGAGTCATATAAAAATTCAATAATCATACTAAGTGCAAATGGTCTAAATATTTTAATTAAAAGGCAGAGGTTGTAGGCTGTCTATAATATACTTTAGCCCTGGTTGGTTTAGCTCAGTGGATAGAGCATTGGCCTGTGGACTAAGGGTTCTGGGTTCGATTCTGATCAAGGGCACATACCTAAGTTGCAGGCATGATCCCTGGGCCTGGTTGGGGCGTATGCAGGAGACAACCAATCAATGTGTGTCTCTCACATCGATGTTTCTCTCAGTCTCTCCCCCTCTCTTCCATTCTCTTTAAAAAGTCAATAGAAAAATATCCTCAGGTGAGGATTAATAACAACAAAAAATCTATTGTAAATATAAAGAATCAACTAATTAAGTATTCATCTCAAGAAATTCCCCAAGGAATAGTAAACTAATCCCAAATAAAGAAGAAGGAAGGAATAATAAAAGAAGATAATTGAACTAGAAACAATAGAATAGAGATGATCAAGAAAGTCAAAATAGCCGAACCAGTTTGGCTCAGTGGATAGAGCGTCGGCCTGCAGACTGAAGGGTCCTGGGTTCGATTCCGGTCAAGGGCATGTACGTTGGTTGTGGGCGCATCCCCAGTGGGGGGCGTGCAGGAGGCAGCTGATGGATCTTTCTCTCTCATTGATGTTTCTAACTCTCTATCCCTCTCCCTTCCTCTCTGTAAAAAACCAATAAAATATATTAAAAAAAAAAAAAAAAAAAAGAAAGTCAAAATAGTTTTTTTAAAAAAACTAATAAATTTGCCGAACCGGTTTGGCTCAGTGGATAGAGCGTCAGCCTGCGGACTCAAGGGTCCCAGGTTCAATTCTGGTCAAGGGCATGTATCTTGGTTGCAGGCACATCCCCACTGGGGGGCGTGCAGGAGGCAGCTGATTGATCTCTCTTCTCTCATTGATGTTTCTAACTCTCTATCCCTCTCCCTTCTTCTCTGTAAAAAGTCAATAAAATATATTAAAAAAAAAACAAAACTAATAAATTTGATAAACCCTTGGCAAAAAAGAGAAAAGGCACAAATAACCATTTGTAAAAGGGGACTCTACATATCCTACAGATATTTAACAGGTCTTAGGAGGATATTAGGAAAACTTTACTGTGATAAACAAGAAAACTTAGATGAAATGAACATTAAAAAATACAGTATCAAAACTGACAGCAGACAAAATAGAAAAATTGATTAGTATTAATAACTAATAAAAATTTTCTCATAGAGAAAACTTTAGTGATAAATTTTACCTAATAGTTAAGGAGGAAATAAAGCCAATATTATCCTATCTAATAAAAGAGAAACATGGTAATTAGCCATATGGCTGCTACCCTTCCCATTGGCTAATCACTGAGATATGCAAATTAACTGCCAACCAAGATGGCGGCCGGCAGCCAGGCAGCTGACACAAACAGGGAGGCTTGCTTGCTTCAGTGACGGAGGAAGCCAGGTTCCCCGCCTGCCTTGCCGGCCTCTCGGCTGCTCTCTAAGAAACATTGTAACAAATATAGAAGCTAAACAAACCCCCAGAAACCTGCTTTAGACAGCCAGGCTTCAGCCAGCCAGACCGCAACATTGTTTCAAATACAGAAGGTAAACAAAGGCCAGAAACCTGCTTTCAGCAGCGGAGGTCTCATAGCTGGAGCCGAGCCTCAGAGCTAAAGCTGGCCCAGAATTAAAAAAAAAAAAGAAAAAAAGGACAGGTTGGGAGCTTCAGTCACCCGCCAGCCTGAAAACGGCCCACAGCCCCTCACCCAGACTGGCCAGGCACCCCAGTGGGGACCCCCACCCTGAAGGGTGTGACCAGCTGCAAACAGCCATCATCCCCTCATCCAGGCTGGCCAGGCACCCCAGTGGGGACCCCCACCCTGATCCAGGACACCCTTCAGGGCAAACCAGCTGGCCCCCCACCTGTGCACCAGGCCTCTATCCTATATAGTAAAAGGGTAATATGCCTCCCAGCACCGGGATCAGCGGAGCCGCGAGGCCTCCCGGCACCAGGATCAGCGTGATAGGGGGCAGCGCCCAAACCCCCTGATTGCCCTGCGGCTCTGTGTGTGACAGGGGGCGGGGCCACAACCTCCCTATCCACCCTGCTCTGTTCGTGACAGGGGAAGGCACCCCAACCCCCTGATCAGCCCTGCTCTGTGCCTGATAGGGGGGAGCTCCCCAACCCACTGATCGCCCTGCGGCTCTGTGTGTGACAGGGTGCGGCACCCCAACTCTCCCCCCCCACAGGCCCTGCTCTATGTGTGACGGGGTAGAGCCATAACCTCCCCATCGGCCGGGCCCTGCTGTGTGACAGGGTAGAGCCATAACCTCCCCATCGACCCTGCCCTGAGTGTGACAGTGGCGGCACCCAAACCCCCTATCGGCCCTGCTCTGTGAGTGACAGAGGGCGGTGCCCCAACCCCCCAATCGGCCCTACCCTGAGCGTGACTAGGGGTGGCATCTCAAACTCCCGATCTGCCCTGCTCTGTGCATGACAGGGGGCGGCGCCCCAACTCCCCAATCGGCCCTGCTCTGAGCCTGACCAGGGGCTGCACCTAGGGATTGGGCCTGCCCTCTGCCACCCGGGAGCAGGCCTAAGCCAGCAGGTTGTTATCTCCCGAGGGGTCCCAGACTGCGAGAGGGCACAGGCCGGGCTGAGGGGCCCCCTCTCTCCCCCCCCCCCGAGTGCACAAATTTTTGTGCACCAGGCCTCTACTTTTATATAATAAAGAAGAGGAATAATTTTCAATTTGTTTCATGAGACCAACATAGCTCTGATTTTATGACTTGACAGACATTATAATACAGAAAAGTTATAGACTAATTTTCTTCATGAACATAGATGTAAAAATCCTAAACAAAATCTTAGCACATTACATACATTAATATCCTTATAAAGAGGATAATACATAATGACTAAATTGAGTTTATTCCAAAGATGTTAATTTACCATATCAATAAATAGAGCAAAAATCAGGATTATCTCAACAGCTTCAGTGAAAGCATTTGATAATATTCACTATACATTCATGACTTAAAAAAAACTCTTAGCAAACTGGGAATAGAAGGAAAACTTCTTTGCTCTAATAAAATAACTACAAAAATCTCTGCAACAAACATCACACTTAATGGTGAAATGTTGAAAGTTTTCCTTCTGAGTCTGGGAACAAGACAAAATGCCACTATCACCACTCCTATTTAACATTGTACTGGAGGTCCTAGTTGGTGAAATATGGCAAGAAAAATAAAATATGAATCAAAAGGGAAAAAACTTTCATTATTCACAGACAATATAATTGTGTACACAGAAAATCCAAAACAACCTGCAGATAAATCAAGCCCCGCTGGGTGGGGGGCATGGCCTCAGGTCCCCTGGCCTGGCCTCAGGTCCCCCCGCCCAGTGCAGGGGCAGGGGCACAGCCTCAGGTCCCCTGGCCCTGGCGCAAGGGAGCGAGGGCGTGGCGACCATTGCATATTAGCTCTTTATTCTCTTTATTATATAGGATTATCTGAATAAACAGAGGATGTACTGTTGTTATGGATTAGAAGAATTAATTTGTAAAGATAATTGATTCTTGCCCAAATGATCTGTCAGTTCAGGGTAATGCCAGTAGAATCCAACATATTTGTGGAAATTGATACAGTAATCCTAAAATTTTTAAATTTTATGGAAATGCAAAGGGCAAAAATAGCTGACTATTTGAAGAACAACAAATGAGAAAATTTACTTGACTAAATATTAAGACTTAAAAACCACAGCAAGTAAGGATGGTGATATTGGTGCAGGATAGAAAAATAAACTAGTGGAGCAGAATAGAGTTCAAACAGACCCATGCATATATGAACAGTTGAGATTTTTAAAAATTTATTTTTGTTAATCCTCACCCAAGGATATTTTTTCTATTGATTTTTAGAGTGGGAGGGAGGTCCTAGCTGGTTTGGCTCAGTGAATAGAGCATTGGACTGCGGATTGAAGGGTCCCGGGTTCGATTCTGGTCAAGAGCACATGCCCAGGTTGTGAGCTAGATCCCCAGTGGGGGGCATGCAGGAGGCAGCCATTCAATGATTCTTTCTCATCATTGATGTTTGTCTCTCTCTCCCTTCTCCCTTCCTCTCTGAAATCAATAAAAATGTATTTTAAAGAGAGAGAGAGAGAGAGGGAGAGAGAGAAACATTGATGTGGGAGAGACACATCGACCAGTTGCTTCCTGCATGCACCCTGTCCAGGGCCGGAATTGAACTGGTGACTGTTTAGTCCGTGGACAACGCTCTAACCACTAAGCAAACAGGCTGAGACTGGGCACTTGAATTTTGACAAGGATTTTCTTCTATATTTTTTTCTAAAAGTTCATGGATTTAACCTTCACATGTTTTTATTTTGAAATAATTTTTGTGTATGGTGCCAGAAATGGAACATTTGTTGTTTTGCATGTGGAGATAATATAATCATTTGTTGAAAATATGATCCTTTTCCTGTTGAATTGCTTTGATACTTTTATTGAAAATCCTTGTCAAGATTAAAAATTCTGGATTATTTTTCATTAGTATATCTTTCTTTTTTTTTTCAGAGAGAAAGGGAGAGGGATAGAGAGATAGAAACATCAATGATGAAAGAGAATCATTGATTGACTGCCTCCTGTACGCCCCACACTAGGGATTGATTACATACATGCAACCACACCATGTGCCCTGACTGGGAATTGAACCATGACCTCCTGGTTCATAAGTAGATGCTCAGCCACTGAGCCGGGTGGTATATGTTTTTCTTTACAACAGTTCTACACTGCTGATTACTGTAGTTTTATAATAAATCTTGAAATCAAGTAGTGTAGGTCCTCTAATCTTGTTCCTTTTCAAAGTTGTTTTCTTTGCATTTCCCTATAAATTTCATAATCAGCTTGTCAGTTTCTACAAAGAAGCTTGCTAGAATTTTGATTGGGATTGAACTGACATCTTAACAGTGTTGAATCTCTTGATCCATGAGCATGGTCTATTTCTCCATTTACTTTGTGCTTTAACTTCTCTCAGAAATATTTTATAGTTTTCAGTGTATAGTTCTTGCACATTTTGTGTCAAGATTTCATCCTAAGCATTTGAAGTTTTTTATGTGATTATAAGTGATATTTTAAGATTTCAATATCTGATTATTTCTTGCTAGTACATAGAAATCCAATTGATTTTTAAAAAATATATTTTTATTGATTTCAGAGAGGAAGGGAGAGGGAGAGAGATAGAAACATCAATGATGAGAGAGAATCATTGATCGGCTGCCTCCTGCATGCCTCACTGGGGATTGAACCCACAACCAAGGCATATGCCCTTGACCTGAATCAAACCTGTGATCCTTCAGTCCGCAGGCCGACACTCTATCCACTGAGCCACGCCGGCTAGTGCTCCAATTGATTTTTATATATTAGCCATGTATTCTCCAACCTTCTCCACCCAGATGCCATCTCCACTGTAAACTCTCCCCAACTCCCTTGACTCCTCCCTATTCCTCCTCTCACATATCATGTGTAGGTCTTTTAAAAATATTTTATTGTTGACACTATTGCAAATATCCCCCATTTCATGTGCAGGTCTTTATCCTAGCACCTAACTAATTGGAGTGGTGCCATTTGTTTATGTGTCTGCCTCCCCCATCAGACTGGAAGCTCCTTGAAGCTGGGAGGGGCCCTATTTGATATTTGTGTCCACTAGGGTCCAGCCTAAGGTCTGGCACACAATAGGCATTGAGTGAGTGTCTGTGAGGGAAGAATGGTTGGGTGGGCATGGGTTGGTGGGTGGAGAGGGAGGGAGGGAGAGAGGGAGGGAAAGATGGATGGATGGATGGATGGATGGATGGATGGATGGATGGATGGATGGATGGTTCGTTGTGCTTGTATTTGTTACAGCAAGTGCTCATACAGAAATTAAACCAGCCTACTTTTGTTTCTGAATCTACTGAACTTTCTGCATGCTACAGTGGTCTGCATACTGAATGTCACCAGTAGGCCATAGTCTTCATAAACAACGTTATAAAGTGCTTACAGCATTTAGGGCATAGGGCCAGGCTCCTTGCAGGCACACTCTCATTAAGCATGTCACACACCTCATCTCTCCTCCACCATGTTCATAAAACTCTAGCCACTCTGACCTCCCTGTTGTTTCTCAAATACACTAAACATACTGCCTATCAGGGGTTTTGAACTTCCATTCTCCTATACCGGGAACACACTTTCCTCAGATAACTGCCTGGCTTGTTCTCTCACCTCCTTTAAGCCTCTGCTCAAGTGTCACCTCCTCAGTAAAGCCTTCCCTGACCACCCTATCTCAAACAGCAACCCCGCTACTCTCTATCCCTCTTACCTTATTTTCTCCATTTGACATAGCAGGCTCATTCTCCAAAATCATGACATATTTCCTCCCATCCTCATTTTATTATTTGTAGCATATTCTAGGAAAGTAACATGTTTGGTTAATAATAATAATGCCATATTTACTGAGCACTTACTATTGCCAAGCAGATTGCTAAATGCTTTATATCAGTGATGGCGAACCTATGACACGCGTGTGAGAGGTGACACGCGAACTCATTGTTTTGGTTGATTTTTCTTTGTTAAATGGCATTTAAATATATAAAATAAATATCAAAAATATAAGTCTTTGTTTTGCTATGGTTGCAAATATCAAAAAATTTCTATATGTGACAGGGCACCAGAGTTAAGTTAGGGTTTTTCAAAATGCTGACACGCCGAGCTCAAGAGGTTCGCCATCACTGCTTCATATAGATTAATTAACTTAATCCATACTCCACTCCTATGAGGTAGGTGCTATTTTTCTGACAGGGGTTCAGGTCCTTGCCCACATTTCCCTGATCTAGCTTAGCATCCCTACCCTATGGTCCTGCTGCTATGAACAAGGGACACCACAGTGGGACTGTGTGTGAGTCTGCCCAATTACTTGTGCTTTTCTTCTGTTTAGTTTTGTAGGTGACGCTGACAAGCTTCTGCACATCCAGATAGAAGACTCCCCGGAAGCCTTCATTTTCCCCTTTCTGCGCCACCTCTGTCACTTCATTGGTAGGGAGCATTCTCTAACGAGGCAGCAACTGGCCTATGTCCAGGGGACACAGGGCCTGTGGCACCTCGTCCACATGCCTATTCCTGATTGGGACTCTCAGTGCTCAGGAGAGAAAGGGCAGCACATGCCCAACTAGGTGTGGACAACCCCAAGACAAGCGTGCTTCTCCAGGGCCATCAGCAATACGCGCAGGCCCGCGTTTACCTCCGGGGCAGTAGGGCCAAATAAGAGCTCCAGACTGAATCGAATACCCTATGTTGTGGCCTTGGCTGGACTGGTAGGCCCTTTTGGGCCTGGCTTCACTGAGATGAGGGTGTGGCCCCACCATGAGTGCATATGTTCATGGAGACCTGCTCTGGGCTGTGCTCTGGTGACTCAGAGGTGACTTGTTCCTGCCCTTTTGTCTGGTTAGTGAGATGAAGTGGAAGGAAGGCTCCAGAGCCTCTGACTTCTCTGATTTTCATTGTGTATGCCCAGTGCCCCTCTGTCCTCTCACCACACACAGCAGTGCCCAACAGTGGCTTACCTCATTGAAGGCAGATTTTTCAGTCATTCCCCAGGCTCAGGATTGCCCTAGTTGAGTAAGATACTTGGAGTGAGTGAGGTTGAGTCAGGTCAGAGGCCCCTCGCCAGGACTACCTACGTGGCACCAACTCAGCCCCCAGCCTGAGTCGCTGCACAGGGGGGCAGAGGATGGTATTTTGGCTCAAACATCTCTTATTTTCACAGGATGTTGCAACTATCACTTAAGTAGTAGCTGAGACAGACTTGCCACATGTCCCATGGGATGGTGGAGCTCTATTGCACAAAGAGGCCCCCTCTCCAGCCCTGACTTACTGGGTGGCCGTGGGCCAGTCCTTAACTGCTTGGTGCCTCAGTTTCCTTATTTGTATGATGAGTCAGTTGGCCTTAATCATCTCTGAGTCCTGCTCCAGCACAGGAATGGTTATCTTCAGTTCTTGGGGGTTACCAAACCAGCCTAGGATGACAGCTTAGATTTCCTCACCATCCCTCACTGGGCAAGACTCACACACAGACTCAGTGTCATTTTAGGTATGCTTACAGCTGACATTTCTGTGCCAGGCACTGGGCTAAGCACAGCACAAAACTTTATGAGGTAGGCAGAATACTATTATCCCATTTTCCAGATGAGGAAACTGTAGCTAAGAGTAACATGCCCAAGCCCCACAATAGTGAGTGGCAGAGCCAGGCTTCACACCAGCAACACTGTCTCCGTCAGTACCATGTGCCCTTGGGGGGACGATCCTCTCATTCCTACCTAAGGAGGCCAACTGGTAGCAGACATTCCTGATCTGAAAGCCTGGAGAGCCAAGAAAAGGCCTTTGCATGAAAATGCTGAATGCCCAGGTGTGATTCTCTTGAATTGCCAGCTAGATCTGAGAATCCCCATTTACCAGGTGACAAAACAGTGGCCTAGTGATGTCATGTGACTTACCTAGGACATGGTGTACTGGCTCTGAATCCACTCTTGGACCCACTAAGGCTAGTCATCTTACATCAACTCAGGTCTACAGGGAAGGGTCCTTTCTCTCCACCCCCCCCCCAACCTTCCTTCCTCTTGCAGATGTCCACCTTGAACTTGGCAATGTCATCCTGGTATTTTCCACCCTGGGCATCAGTCGCAGCTGCGGGGTCATCTTGGCCTACCTCATGCACCAGAACGAGCAGACCTTGAAGGTATGCATTCCCTGGTCTAGGTTCTAACCATAGCCTCCATGAGGTGGGGTCTGAGTTACACCTGGGAGAAATGGTCCTTGGCACTGCCTCAGGACCCTAATTGGGGGATGAGAAGGAGAAGGGTCAGGGAGGGGCGCTCCAAGTCCAGGGCTTTGCCTAGCACACCACACTCAAAGGCAAGGACCGACTATCTGTGCTGGAGGTCTGAGGTTGGGCACATGGAGCAGGCCCAGGGACTCAGACTGTGCAAGGCTGCAGCTGGCAGTACCTTCTACATGTCCCCTACTGCCATTAGTCTGTCTATTAGGGTTTGTTCATGGTTCTTCAAGAGAGGTGCATTGTTGTTGCTGCTTGGAGTCATAGAATTGCAGTGCTGGCAGGGCTTCAGCAGGCACCCACTCCAACAATTATTTTATCCTTGAGGGGAGCAGAGTCCAGAGAGGGGAAGGAAGTAGGGACCCATCACAACAAACCCCGTGGGAACTCAAGGCTCCCGACTCCCAGGGCATTACTTTCCCACTGCCCACTGCCCTAGGAGATCGCAGGCCTATCCCGAGGGGAGGGCGAGCCTAGTTTGGCACAGCTTGTACTTGATTTCAGAGGGCATGGATAGGACCTGACAAGCTCCCACATTTGTCCAGGAGTGTGCTTGGAGGGACAAAGAATGATCGTGGTCAGAGCCCATTGCCAGTGGTTCTGGCTGTTGACCCAGTGTGCTCTTTGCAGGTGCAATTACAGGCAGAAAGAGTCTTGGATAGCCAGCAATCCCACTTCTAGATATACACCCAAAAGAAGTGAAAGCAGGGACTCAAAGAGATGTTTGTACACCCATATTCATAGCAGCATTATTCACAATAGACAAAAGGTGGAAGCCAACCAAGAGTTTATTGACAGATGAATGGATAAATAAAATGTGGCCTATTCATATAATGGAATATTATTCAGCCTTAAAAGGGCAGAAAACTCTGACATGCAACCTTGAGGACATTATCCTAAGTGAAATAAGCCAGTCATAGAAGACCAAATACTTTGTGATTCCACTTATATGAAATAGAGAAGTCAGATTCATAGAGCCAGAAAGCAGAACAGTGGATGTTGTTTAATGGGCATGGAGTTTTAGTTTGGAAAGATGAAAAAATAGAGATATATGCACAATATAGTGACTGTACTTAATGCCATTGAATTGTATGTCTAAAAATTATTAAAATGGTAAATTATGTGTATTTTACCACAATTAAAAAAAGAAGAGTCTGAATGCAAAATCAGAGGTTCTGGAGTGAGAGGCCTAGATGCCTGCTCTCTCACCCCATCAAAGGTGAATTGTCAGGCGCACTCACACTGGGGTCACTGCCTGCTTGCGGATCACTTTGGTGTGTGCTGGGGCGGGGAGATGTTGCTAATAATTCTGGGAAAGGAGGCCTGTGTGGTTGCACCAGTAGAGATGCCTCTCCAGCCCTCTTCCCAGCAATGGGCTCTCTCCTCTGAGGGGCCACGTCTTCAATGCCCTTTTGAGCTGGTAGGGGAGGAGGCAAAGAGCTGGCAGAAGGCAGGCCAAGCTCACCTACCTGAAGGGGGCTTGGGAGTTCTAGGACTTGAACTCCCTTGGAGTTTGAATGGGGCCAGTCTGTGAATTTCAGCAAGCCCTGCCCTGCTGTGGTCCCTGGTGTCTTCATTGTTCATAGGGAAGCTTGGGCACAGGTCTTTGGAGCCTTCCAACTTTGACATTTAGTGATATGTCCTAACCCTGACAAGCAAATCACAGGCCTCTCTCTGGCCACATTAAAAGCAGGTGTTCCAGAGCCAGGTGGGGTAAAAGCAAAGAGAGGAGTCCCCTCATCCACTTGGCTCCTCTAAGTTCTCCAGCAGCGAGGACCAGGCCCCCACAGTAATGTGGCACATGCAGGCCTGCACCTGATCTTTACTGCAGGGAGATTCACAGCTCCAGCAATGAGGGTAAGGGATAGCTGGGCACAGGTGTTCTGGTCAGTGGGTAGACAGGCACTTGGGCACCTGAGACTTAAACAATTCTGGTCTCAGGAGACACTCAGGTGCTCCCTTCCTGGAGCAGCAATTTTCATCTCATCTGCAGAGAAGTCCTGATATGGGACACTCTGCAGAGATGCCATCTAGATAACTCTTGGCCAAAAAAGCACAGCTCCTGGAACTATGGGTGAAGCACTGCGGCTGTGACCTGGCTCTGTCCTCTCCAGACTCGGTGAGTCCTGTGTAGTCGTTAGCTTCTCCTGCTACCAATCAAGCACCCTGGATCACTGACACAGGTGAACCTGAGCTCAGCTCTGCGGCTGCCTGGGATCTGGCAGGGACATACCTGCCTTCCATTGTCTGTGTGGTCTTGGGGATGGTCCTCAGTGCACTGGGGAAGCTGGGCCCTTGGCTGCTTCAGCTCAGCTGTGATAGTCAGAACCCACAGGACTAGCAAGAAGAATGTAGGTCACTGTCCTGCAACATACTGCTTCCTGGGCTTGTAGTCCCAGCTCAGCTCCTCAGGGCACCAAGGACAAGAGTCAGAAGTCACGGAATGAGCTGGGAAGAATCTAGCACCAGAGCCTCTCCTGCCTGTCCTGGGCTTTCAAAGCTTTGGTAGAAGGTTGTGTGGGACCCCAGAGCTAGAAATCCTTTAAGAAAGCAATTTCCTTTTGAATTGCTGGGAGTAGCTTTGTCCCTTAAGATCTTCAGAGAAAAACAAAAACTAACTCCTGAGGCACTGTAATAGCTTACATTGGCAGAGTCGTTCCACATGCAAGGCTGTTTTAAGTGCTTTATGTGTAATGAAAACACAGTGACCCCACAGCCTGTTATCCCATTTTGCAAGGAGGCATATAGAGGCTGGGTAATTTGCCTGGGTCCTTACAGCTATAAGTGGCAGAGCCACATGGCTCAGATGGAGAATCTGGGCTGTTTTTTAAAAATCCTCCCTGAGGATATCTTTTTATTGATTTTTAGAGAGAGAGGAAGAGAGAGAGAGAGATTGAAATATTGGTACACACCCCAACTGGGGATCAAACCCAAAACCTAGCTATGTGCCCTGATCCGGAATTGAACCTGCAACCTTTTTGTGTATGAGCAATGCTCCAACCAACTGAGCTTCTGGGCCAGGGCAAGAATCTGGGCTTTTAACAAGCCCCTACGGCGGCAGGGAGAGCACTTGCCTTGCAGTCTGAAGAATGGGGCACTGCCAGGTCAGTGTGGCTTAGTCGTTGAGCATTGACCCATGAACCAAGAGGTCCCGGTTCAATTTCCAGTCAGGGCACATGCCTGGGTTGTGGGCTCAGTCCCCAGTAGAGGGTGTGCAGGAGGCAGCAGATTGATGATTCTCATCATTGATGTTTCTCTCTCTCTCTCTCTATCCCTTTTCCTTTCTCTCTGAAATCAATAAATATATATATAAAAAAAGAATGGGGTACTGCTCCTTATCAAGAGTGACCTGGGCATGTCCCTTCACCTTTCTGTCCCCTCGGTAGACAGAATAAGGCCTGTTTTTCCAGCTTGCTGCATTTGCTGTGAGTCCCAGCAGATACATTGTGGACTGGAAATGGAGTGTGTGGATGGGTATGGGGTGCTATGGTTATGGTTGGTTCTCAAGGGCCTGTTCTGACCTGGTCAGGACTTAGAAATCTTATAACTGCACAGCTTTGCCCCTGGTATCACTGTGTTTTATTTATTTTAAATCGTGACAACACACAGATAACACAAAATTTACCACTTTAACTTTTTCAAGTGTAAAGTTCAGTAGTGTTAAGCATATTCACATTGTTTTGCAACAGATTTCCAGAACATTTTCATCTTGCAAAACTGAAACTCTATACCCATTAAACAATAATTCCCCATTCCCCTTCTCCCCCAGCCCCTGGCAACTACCATTCTTCTTTGTCTCTATGATTTTGACTATTCTAGATACCCCACATAAATGGGATCAGAATGTTTGTCCTTTTGTGACTGGCTTGTTTCACTTAGTATAATGTCTTCAGAGTTCATCTATGTTGTAGTATGTGTCGGAATTTCCTTTTTTTTTAAAAGATTGAAATAATATTCCATGGTATGGAGAATTCACTAGTGAACCTATCTGGGCCTGTTGCTTTCTGTTTTCAAAGGTTACTTTTTATTGATTCAACTTCTTTACTAGATACATAAGGCTATTCAGATTGTATGAGTTTTGTCAGATTGTGTCTTTCAAGGAGTTGGTCCATTTCATCTAGACTACATGTGGGCATAGAGTTGTTCATAGTATTCTTTTATTATCCTTTGCATGTCATTGGGATCTGTATTGATTCCTTTTTATTTCTGATATTAGTGATTTGTGTCTTCTCTCATCTTTTCTTTGTTAGGCTGGTTAGAGGCTTACTGATCTTTTCTAAGAACCAGCTTTTGATTTCATTGATTTTCTCTATTGATTTGTTTTCAATTTTATTGATTTTTGCTCCAATTTTTATTATTTCTTTTTCTCCTGCTTACTTGGATTTAATTTATCATGTATTTTTAGTTTCCTACGATGGAAACTTAGATGATTCAGCAGTTCTCAACCTGTGGGTCGCGACCCCTTTGGCAGTCGAACGACCCTTTCATAGGGGTCGCCTAAGACCATCCTGCATATCAGATATTTACATTACGATTCATAACAGTAGCAACATTACAGTTATGAAGTAGCAACAAAAATAATTTTATGGTTGGGTCACAACATGAGGAACTGTATTTAAAGGGCCAGAAGGTTGAGAACCACTGATTTAGATGAACATTCATCTTGGTGAATGTCCCATGTGAGCTTGAGAAGAATGTGTATTATTATATTGTTGAATGAAGTATTCTATAGATACCAATTATATCCAGTTAACTGATGGTGCTATTGAGTTCAACTATAGCCTTACTGACTTTCTGCCTGCTATATCTGTCCATTACTGACAGAAGGGTGATGAAGTCTCCAACTATAATAGTGAATTCATCTATTTCTCCTTGCAGTTCTATGAGTTTTGCTTTACATATAT